AGCGGAGACGTGGGTCGGGTGGAACAGAGATGGAGACTAGTGGCGCGCATTCTTTTGAAGGAGCACAAAAAATAAAGAAAAGATAAGGCACATTTTAAAAAGTTTCTTTGAATCTTTCTTCCTAAACCAGAAGTGGTGTTGAGTTTAGACGTGGGCACGTCTTATACAAAAACATCTTCAAGATAGTGAGACACTTTAGGAATAATTCTGCCTTTGTAAGGCGTGCCCACGGGTTACAAAAATTCATCTTCTGACTTAAAGAAGAAAACAAGATTAATTGTACTTTGAAAAATCAAGGAAAAAAATAAAAAAAATGAAAATAGAAATTGAAAAAGGAAAAATTGGGTTGCCTCCCAAGAGCGTTTTTCTTTAACGTCTTTGGCTAGACGTTGTAGCTTCTCAATCATCCTAAGTTGGGTACTCCAAAATGATTTGACTAACAGTATGCACCTGAGAACCTTCATAAAAAGGTTTCAAACGACGATCATTGACCTTAAATATTTGACATGTATCCAAACTTTGTGTTTCAACAATAGAGAAATTTTTTCTCCACCCAATAGCTTCCTTGTACTCTCTAAGCATTCGAATCAAACTTTTCTTCTTCTAAGCGAGAGAGTTTGTTGGGAATGATCACCAGAATAGTTTTCTCTTCTCCTAAATATACATGCTTCAGATGATTTAGCAAAGGCTTCGTTTCTAATTTTTGTACTTGCACAAGAGAATGAAGAAGCTTGGTGTGAGAAAGAGGTGACTCAATATAAGATACATCATACCTCATGGGTTTGAGTGATTCTAGTTCTTGGATTGTATCTTGCAAATCAAGATCCAACACAGACTTTTTCATGATTCCCTACAATCCTTCAGAAGTGAAATTCATGTTGAGTGTATCTTTTAACTTGTCATCTTCATTTTGATCAAAAGTTTCATGTTCTAGAGGGTCAATAACATCCATAAAAACAGAGGATACATCACTAGAACATCTCATGGCGTCATAAATATTGAATTTAATAATTTCACCATCAAATTCCATGGTAAGTGTACCATCATCTACATCAATTTTTGTTCTAATTGTTTTCAAAAATGGCCTTCCTAACAAAATTGATGTTGATTTAGAAGAATCATCTTCTTGCATATCAAGCACATGAAAATCTATAGGAAAAACCAATTCATTAACTTACACCAAAACATCCTCTAAAACTCCCTCAGGATATACATTAGATCTATCAGCAAGTTGAAGAATCACTCATGTTTCTTTCAAATAACCAACATTCAGAGATGAATAAATAGAAAGAGTCATGATATTTATTGAGTCTCCTAGATCTAACATTGCTCTCTCAATCCTAATATTACCGAGTTTACAAGGGATAGTAAACATACCTGGATCTTTGCACTTGGGGGTAGTTTTTTCTGGAGGACAGCTGAAACATTCTCCCCCATACTTACCTTTTCATTACCCTTGAGCTTTCTCTTGTTGGTGCATAATTCTTTAAGAACTTTAGCATATCGAGGTACTTGTTTAATTGCATCAAGTAAAGGAATATTTACCTCAATCTTGTGAAATGTCTCAAGAATTTCTTTCTCTTCTGCTTCTTTTCTGGACTTAGCGAATCTAGAGGGGAAATGGGGTTTTATGAAAATTCCTTCGATTTTTCGCTTTTGAGTCCTTTAGGTTGGTCTTTCTGAGTCTGAGGAGAAACAACTTCCTTTTTAGTTTCTTCCTCTAAGGCTCTCCCTTGTGCCAATGGACTAGGTTCCTTCAACTCCTTTCCACTTCTCAATGTGATTGCACTAACATTTTGCTTTGGATTAACAATGGTTTGTGAAGGTAACTTACCTTGGGATTCTAATCGACTCACGGAGGATGCCAATTGACTCATTTGATTCTCCAAATTTTGTATGTTTATTCTTGTCTCTTACTGAAATTGTTGTGTATTAGTTGCAAGTGATTTGACAATTTCTTGTAGAGACATACCTGGCTTTGAAAAAGACTGTTCAGGTGGAAAGCGCTGGGATTGTGATGGTCTTGGTCCATAGCTAAGGTTAGGATGATCCCTCCATCCTGGATTATAGGTATTTAAGTAAAGATCATATTTCCTTTGTGGAGGATCAGGAAACCTTCCAACTGCATTGGCGTACTCATGAGAATCATCTTGAAGTGTAGGGCACATGTCAGTTGGGTGACCGATCGCAGCACATATCCCACAAGCTTTCACTTGCTGTGTTTTTCCTACAACTAGTTGTTGAACAAGGAAGGTGAGATGCGATAATTGATGTTCAATGGAGGATGAACCTACCTCATTCACCCTTCTTGAAGATGTGTCTTGCCTAAAGCCAAATTGTTGTGAATTCGCTGCCATGATGGAGATCAATTCCCTAGCATTGTGAGGAGTCTTATTCACTATGGCACCTCAACTGGCTGCATTCATCATCTTCCTCTCCATGGGTAGTAGTCCCTCATAGAAATATTGGATGAGAAGTTGCTCAGAAATCTCATGTTGAGGGAAGCTGGCACACAGTCGTTTGAATCGTTCCCAATACTCGTGAAGGGTCTTAGTATATTTTTGTTTTATTCCACATATCTCCCTTAGAATTCCAGTGGCTCTTGAAGCATGAAAAAACTTATTAAGAAACATCCTTATAATCTCAGCCCAAGTAGTTACAGAACCAGAGGGTAAATAGAAGAGCCAATCTTTAGCTCTATCGGCTAGCGAGAACAGAAAAGCACGCAATTTTATCTGCTCTTCAGTCACTCCTTGCGGTCTCACACTTGAACATACCACGTGGAATTCCTTCAAATTCTTATGAGGATCTTCATTCTCAAGTCCATAAAAAGTATGCAACAAATGAATCAAACCAGATTTTAATTCAAAAGCTACCTCCAAAGCTGGGTAGTCAATGCAGAGCGGTTGTTGATTCACATTTGATGCAGTCAATTCTCTTAGAGTTCTTCTCCGTTGGCCATTATTCCTTCTATTTCAGAATCTTTGGATGAATCAACCAAGTTGAGTGCAGATTTCGATTCAGGGGATGAAGAATAAGAAGCTTGTTTGTTGCGCAAGTTTGTTTCTTTTCTTAACCTGCGAGCGGTCTTCTCAATTTCAGGATCGTATTGGAGTTCACCTGCACGAGAAGAATGGGGCATTAAAATACGTCTAAATGACACCAATCCCCGGTAACGGCGCCAAAAATTTGGTGGGTGTCGAATCCAACAAATAATAATACTTGCTTTTAGAAATATAAATTGTAGTAGCGATAAGCAAGGTCGAATCCACAGGGATTGAGTAGACTTATTTTAATGAAAATTAAAGAAAAGAAAAGGGGTTGTGAAATTAAGAAAAATAAAGAGAAAAAGCAATTATAATAAACTAAGAATTTAGAGAGATCAATATCAAGCAAATATCCAACTAAAGGTATAATTTCATAATTGGTTCAGAGAATTGATCATAGATGCAATGATAAAATCTTTTACTCTTCACTAAATTGGTTATGGTTATTGAGAAGCTCTAACAATCTGTCTCTCCTTAGTTTCTCGATAATCAAGAGAAGCTCTTTGATTATTTCCCTTGTTAATGAACAACCCTAGACAAGCTCTTATGATTTAATCCACCAACAGCATTAACCACTAGAGGGACCACCAATTCTAGCCAACGGATACACAAGCTCGATTCATTTAGACTAGGTTATATATCTTCATAACATAATCAAAATCAAATATGTTACTTTACCACTAATATTAGAACGTTTAAATAATTACGGATTTAAAGTTCTAAATGGCAATTTATCAACTTGATAATTGAACAACAGGCCCTTTGCACAATCAATCAATATAATAATTCTTAATAAGAACATAAAATATATAAATAGCAAAGAAGTAAAAGAACAATGAAAATTATTTAGATCTCACAATCCTTGAAGAACCAAAACTTCAATTATCCTCCAGTTGAAACAAAAGTATTTAGCTACTCATAATTGAAAGAACACCAAAAGAAAAACTTAAAGAAAACTTAATGAAAGACTTGATGCCCTAGCTCCCTTTTTATAAGGATTTTCCTACTCTAGATAAGGAAGTTTCCCTTGAAGAAAATCCCACAAAAATAGAAGTTTTAAATGCCCTCATCCTTTTCTAAAGATAAGAATAATTCAAAAGAGTCTTCCAGCCGTCATTAAACTCTTTTTCCCTTGTAAATTCGTAACTCTAATTTAGGGTTGTACGAATGGTAAAGCGCGCCCACGCCTTAACTGAAGACTTCTTCTGCGATAGCTCAGGATAAATAAATCGTGCCCACGCATTATGTGAAAACCTCTTCTGGTCTTGCCAACTTCTTGAATTCCGATTTTTCTTCCTTAATTTAGAGATTTTGTGAAGATCATGTTAATCATTAGATTTTAAACTTGTTTTATCCAAATCTTCAAACTAATCCACAAAATACGAAATATAATCAAAATCCATGATTTAAGCAATTTTAGTTTTTCAAATATGAGGAAAATATCATAGAATATATGTCTAATATGCATTTTATCAGGTAATGAGACACACAAGAACAACTTCCACTTCAAGCTTCATTTATTCCAATCTGAACACCAAGCTGTTGAAATAATATCAAGTTATCTCTATGTACATTTCCGGACATACACTGCTTCAACAAAGTGAAATCATCCATGCAATTCAAAGCAATGTAACTGAAAACAATGAGAGGACTAGATAGGTATAACTGGATCTTAATTCTGAGCCAAAAACCAAAAGCCAGAAGAATTGCTTTGTCGAAAAAACATAAGTGGATTCCCTTTAATATGCAAAATGCTCAAGTTATTCTAGTCTGCGTGAACAAAACGGCAGACTGAAACCTCAGTTTTGCTAGAAAACATAATCTTAAGTATCGAATAGATTCACCAGATGCATCTCAAAGCATAACTAACATTAAGTAACGAGTTCCACAACCAGTTAAACATGAAAAGAGAAAACTCCAAAATCATATGCATAATACAGTAGTTTATACAAACCTTCATTAGGAGCCAGGGGTATTGTTCGTGCAAATTGCCTCCAATCTGCCAAAAGTGAAGAATTCATGCAACAAAGGAGGTAATAATCAAATGGAATCAACGATACTATATTTTGCGTATGAAAAGATCGGCTGGAAATTGTAAAAGAGATATGAAGATCACGTATGATATAACACTGGAAACTCAAACCAAGTAAAAACTATGCTCTTCCATTGATACCCAAACTCTCGATATGATGGCAAGAATATCAGAGAAGCAAATAAATATATCATAATGGGTACTGACAAATTCATGGTAGGCCAACAAGTCTAAAGCTGCTAATTCTAATTCTTTAACCCCCCCAAGGCAGTCAAGTAAAGCAAGCTAGCAAGGAACAAGTAATAACCATGTTCAAATATACTCGGTACTATCAGTAAATCATATAACAAGCTTCAGAAACTTCATAGCATCTATCTACAGTCCCAGACAGCAAAAACTGAAGAAAAGTAAGAAAAGGCCTCCAATGCATATAAAAGGCAAAACACATTAAGGCTTACCTTATTAGCTGCCGTATTATAGTTACTTCAACTATTAAATACACATGGTCTACATGACACCAAATGATGAATTATATGGCATCAAAGGCTTTTACTTTACCTCCCTCTCACAGTCGGAGACATGATTTTATAAGGGTTGAACTTATAATTTTAAAAGCGACCAACTTATAATATTTTAGAAACGAAAATAAATTTAATAGAAAATACAAAAAATATTTAAATTAGAAGTGCGAAAACAAATTGTCACTGGAAGATGAAAAACATATCAATATATGAGAATTTAAAATATTTTAGTAATGATACCACCACCCTCTCATCCCTGTCTCCTCCCCTACCCACTTCAGAAACAACTGCATTAACGGGGGTAGAATGGACACCTACTACTAGCCAGAATTCAACATGCTACTCCACTCCAAGCAGATTTTAAACAACACCAGAAGTGAAATAAACTTCTTTTAGACCAAAAACAATCACCCAAACTAAAGAGAAAGTACAACAAACTAGAATAAATGATAGGGTGTTTAAGTTCAAACCTGGGAATTAAACTAGAGAAGAAGGAAGAGGTGAAGAGAAGCCAGCAAGCATAAATTCCCGAGAGAAGCTATAAGAAATTATGGATAATTCATTATATTCACAAATGCAATCATACCAATAAGAGATAATAGTAATAAATTGGAACAAACAAAGAAAAAGAAAAAAGGTGGCAAATTTTCAATGAGAAGAGACATAACAGCACAAATAAGAAAAAGGGACAAAGACTGAAGATGTTCAGATTATATATATATATATAAGCATTCAGAAAATAGGATAATAGAGACAAACAAACACATCAACCACCTTTCTGAAAGCTACGCATTTGCCAACACGAAAATGACTCCCCAACCATTTTAGGATTAATGGGTTCTTGGCAAAATTAAAAGAACCCAAGAAAGCTTAGAACGTTACCAATTTGGCAACCGATAGAAACTAAAGAAAGAAACTTGGCTTAGCTTCAAAGATTTTACTGCTACTGAATACGTTGGGAAATGTTAAAGCGACATCTGTAAAATGTAAAGTTGGAACTTCAACGTTGTTGTTTATGGTAAGGTCCCCCTACCTTTTGTTCGGTGTCGTTTTCCGGATTACGCGGGGAGGGGGGCAAAGTTGACATAGACCGTTGGATCAAAGAATATTAATCATTATGATCACGTGGTCCATATTAGAATTAAAAGGATATTCATTATTTTATGTAGGTAATCTAAATTGTAAACGTCATTAGATTAATAATTACCCATCAAAGTGTAATTACAAAAGAAGCAAAAGCTAAAAAGTCATTAAGAAATCACCAAAATTTGGCGCACCTAAACCAATCTGCTTTGAGAAAATAATGGCTTCTATGTTACATAGGGGACAAAAACTTAATAATTTTAACGAAAGGCTTCTATTTAGTGTATGGTGAGTATATATATATATATATATATTGAATATGCTAAATAATTTAAACTCGTTGGTCATGTTTTCAACGTGTTATTTTGTTGTTCTTTCTAAAGATCTTAAATTTAAATAGTTATATTTACAAGATATGTATATGTTATTAATGATTAAAAAAGATTTTAAACATATGTTACACTATAATCGTATTATATTATTAAAAAAACATGTTACTCTCTACCACCAAATTTTCGCGCCATTTCCCTTGTGATTTAGTAGCTGATACAGTGTCTTGGACGTTTGGACCATCCCTTGCAGATCCCGAGTGTGAGTGTGGGTGTGGGTGTGGGTGGCTGCTGATGTGCTTCATTTGGTCTTAGGGTTCTTTGTTTTCTTGGGCTCATGTGGACTATTCTTTTCTTTATGGGCCACAATTGAAACCACCTCTTTCTCAACCACACCACCCAACTTAACAAAGAAAAGGAGGGGCACAAAAGTTATAAGGAAATGGTTATATATATATATATATATATATTCCAACCCAAGGGACTCGACTGAACTTGATCAACTCAAACATTTTCGAGCTCAAAAAACCTTCAACGGGATCCAGTTTTTTAGGTATCACTGTATATTTTTTGACATCACCATGCAATATGCATCAATGAATCCACTCATAATGTGGAATTTTCCTATTATGTCTTAATTCCAATGTGGACAAAAGAGTTTCTTTCAATTTCATCATTTCAATCCGCTTTTCAAAACAACTTGTATGAATTAATATGGTCATCCCACATAATCTTGCCTCATCTGGTGGAGACCCCATCACCAAATTTATGTTGCTTCTCTACAATATCAATGGCATGAACCCTATCCTTTCCCCTTATTAAGGTTTCGTTTTTCTTATCAGACACTTGATTCCTTTGCTGATACTTTCTTCTTAGACTGGTGAAGCAACTAATGGGTGCAAGAATGAGGCTTTTGGCTCTTTCTTTAACAATACTGATGATGATGACTTCCTTCTTGGCCTCAAAGGTTATAAAAAAGGATTTGCCGAAGCATGAACACGTCGTTGTCAATGGTCGGCGGCTGCTCCTCGACGATTTAAGTGTCAAAAGTAGGTATCCAAAGCAGAGCAGCGTGAACAACCACCATTACATTCCTAGGGAGGACTTCAACAACTACCCTGGTGGCGATGGTTCAGATGGAAGTGGGTAAATTAATTGGATGATCAATTATATATATATAGGGGGAATAAAGTAAACTGGTTATACTTGATGTTTAATAGCTTGTATTCTGGTTTCAGTTGTATCGGTTATGTGTCATTATAATACGTGTAGGATATACATGTAATTGCATGAAAGCATGGCTGCCTGCTTTGCCACAAGATGTTAACCATTGATTCCTAAACAAATAACCTAAAATGTCTTGAACCGGACATAGGATATTGGAATTGTGCTCGGGAGATTAAAAAAGAGAGAATTGAAAATTATAGGGTCCAAACAGTTAACGACGACAACGGTCGTTGTTGACCGATGGTGATCGGAAACGACTGTGGTGAGTGACAATCGAAATCGAGAGACTTGGATTGAGTTCGGGAGTCAAATTGATATTTTATTTAAAGTTTAAGAGTTAAATTAAAAATTAACCTATTTTAATTAATGTGTCACGTCAAACTAACAACTTAACGATGAAAATGTAACAAATGATATTTTTTCTTAAATGTAGGAGTCTTGAAATTTAATTGTAGAAATTCACGAGCAGTTGTTGTCATCTGAACTTCTGTGAAGAGAAAGCCGATGCCGTCTTTCCTAATTCGATCGGAAATTCATGAGACTGTTCTAAATAAGTACCGCTTGAAGCAGAAATAGACGCTATTAATTATCAATTAACAATTGGTGAATTTAACAGTTAAATATAATATATAAGGGAATTATATGACTATGTAGGTGTTAATAGATACTGGTGGGGCACCAACAAAGGCACCAAAGGGCAGACGAATTCTATTCGAATTTGTAAGGTTAAAACTCCTGCTACGCCAACTGTATAGAAGGATACTGACCTTTTTACATTCAGAAGTGGATGGAGCTCATCTGGATATTTTGGGTTGCGAGAAAACAAAGCAAGTTGAACGGTAACAGAGTTAATGCAAAAATGTTGGGTAATTAAGAACCTTATCTGAGAATCCCCTTATCATCGTATTCCATGTTGTTGAATCCCTTTAAATTCCAACTCCTCAAACAGTGTAGCAGCAATAGCACTTTGATTGTTATAAAATCTGGCTTCCTTTCATCTCGCTGAAAAACACCATAGCCAAGTCCAGACATTTGCAATACATGTCAACAAGTGCAGTTCCAACCATAGTATCAAACCATGTCTCAGATTTCAAACAACCCATTAAAGCTATCTGCCAAACTGTAGTAAGAAAGACCTGCGCTGCGGATATACAGAAAAGAACGTAACACAATTAGGTCCCTACTTGACAACGTTCTATCATGTTGTTAAACACCATAATCCAAAACAATAGGTAAAGAATCAACTTGTATGTCAAGTTCAAAACTTCAACAAGTTGGCAAGGCAATAGCTAGAGTGAGTGAATTAAGCTTCCATAATCCAAAACAAATCTCTTTCCACACTATCAAAGCTTCTCTATATCGATAGGAGATGGTGGTGGAGTGATGAATGTTCCTCGTAGTTAAAGAATCAAGTCTACCAAATGGAAAAGTTAATCCATTTTCTTTTGAAGTGTATCGTGTGGTGCATGTATCATATTGTGCCCATTTTCTCTCGAATCCAAAGATCATCGAGTTTAACAAAGCCAAGCTTCGTCAGACAATTCAAAAAACACTTTGAGAGTTCATTCAAAGCATTCCATTTTCATGTGCATATTTGTGAGAGCTGTGGCAACCTAAATGTCATGGAAAAGGAGTTGGCCATGAATTGGACTTGAGCTTGGCACTAGCTTTAGAAGGGAATATAAATTTGTATTAATATCGTAAATATAACCCAAAAAATACATAACAATATTATAATAAGAAATTTATACATTTGATTATGATATAGATTTAAATTTTTGGTATCCTTATTTTTAAAAGAATCTTAATGGTAAATTTATTAATATAGTTTAACTTTAAATGAAAACAAAAAATCATAAACTATATTTATTGAGTTCGTGATATTTTCTGGTGAAACGGAAATTTAACTTGTGTTCAGAAGGTGAAAATGAGTGAATCAGAAATTTTAAAATGCAATAGTCATGGACAACAACGGCTTATGCCGACCAACGATGACAGTGACGAATGACGACCAACGATGGGAGACATCCTCAAATTGATTTTTTTTCTTTAATGTTTAGAGGTCAATATGATATTATAACTAAAATTTGTACTTTATCAAACTATCAAGTGTTATCGACTAAATGACTAAAATGTATGTAACAAACTGATAATGTTAATGATTAAAATTTAATAAATAGATAATATGTAACCAAAATATATTTTTTAAAATTTGACGAATAAGAGTATATAAATTTACAAGAAAAATAATCAATATGAATATTTGTATTTTCATTTTTAAAGAGTGAAAGTGAAAACAAGGGTGTTAAATTCACTGGCCTTGACGCCTCAAACTTTCTCGACTGTTGGAATTTTAGGTGGGCACTCGATAATTTATATAATTTATAATATTATTAATACGAGACAAAATACGTTACAACGACGTTACCCCAATATTACAATATTACAACACTACAACACTAACTGCAGCTAGTTTACAAACACAATCTCGCTATTTTTAAATTTTATTAAGCTCTCTCAAATTTCTCTAGTTTTTCAAAGCTTTCATTCTTTCTCACTTTACATACATTTTAAAACTAATCTACAAACATATTTATAGGTGTAGTAACTGACTTATTTTCAGCTCTGTGGATGCTTCTCAATTTCTCTCTACCGCCTTAATACTTGCTTGCCTTAATTAAATTCCATGTAATTTTGACTTTTCAAAGTCTATTCTTATTTGATAAAAATTGTTTTATGCTAACTCAACATTTAGTGTTGTCACGTTTTTTTCCCTTAATTATTAAGCATGCACTTTTAGCCATCTTTTTTTGACTTTCAAACTTTTAGAATTAAGTTTGATTTCTAACACTCCCTTCAAATTTAATTTTCCATTTCACGATTTTCTCCACTTATCATCTCTAATCGATTCTTCATTTCATGGCAAGTACGCGTTGCTGCGGTTATGTATTCTTCTTTGCTTTTTCGACACCTTGTAGAGTTTTTTGCAAAATCTCTCACGCTTGTTTTGCGATCTTCGCATCAGAAATTTTTTCAAATGTAGATTCGTTTACTCCTTGAAAAATAAAAAAAAAAAACATTACTCTTTTATCTCTTTTCTGAGATTCCTTCAATACTTTTTTTTCTTCATCGGCCAGGACTGCTTCTGTTGCTGCATTTTTAGGCTCGGTGTAACCATCTTCGATAATATCCCAACAATCTTGGGAGCCTAGTAACACCTTCATTTGAATGTTCCAATTATCATAATTCGTCTTTGTCAACTTCGGGATTTGAGATTGAATCATATTAGTCATCTTCTCCACTACGTTAAACTCAAGCCAAGCTCTGAGACCACTTGTTGGAAGCGTAGGTGGACTCTCGAGTAATTTATGTAACTCGAAATATTATTAATACGAGACAAAATACGTTACAACGACGTTACCCCAATATTACAATACTATAACACTATAACACTAATTACGGCTAATTTACAAATACAACCTCGTTATTTTAAGCTTTACTAAGCTCTCTCAAATTTCTCTAATTTTTCTAAGCTTTCATTCTTTTTCACTTTACATACATTTTAAAATTAATCTAAATACATAGGTATAGCAACCGCCATTTTATTTTCAAACTTCTAGAATTAAGTTTGATTACTTTACAAGTTGAGCATTAAGAAAATGGCATTGAACTCCATTCTTGTAATTTACCCGGTTTAGTCAATCTTTCTGAGCCTCAAAAACAAACATGTTGGCATACATCAATTATCTGAAGAACTAAACCAAATCTCTTCCCACAACTGCATTACAAATGGAGTGCCACAAACAACTTATTAAAGCATCATTACAAAATCAACATGATTTCTTACTACCAAGTATCAATCATTGCATTTTGTCACCTCTTTCATTCAACTCTGTATTAGTATCACTAACAAATACGTTCAGGCTGGCCTGCAACCGTGTATCACCAGTTTCACCACATTTTCAAATTTTATTGCGAGGAATAGCTAGGCTAAGCTGCCACCGCTCCACTCATTTCATCTTCAGTAAGATCGACATAAGCTCAACCGACAAAGTCGTGAATCATTTGGCCGCCGAATTGCTGCCGAAGCTGGTCCTCGTGCTGTTGATATTGCTGCTCTTGCTGTTGGAGTACTTGTGCACTTTCTACCCCATGTCTGAGTCCCAAGGTAAGTGACACAGCTCCAAGCCCCCCCATCTACAGCCTACTTTGCTCGTATGGTGCAAAACTCATCATCGCACCATCCATGCTTGTTGGGATATGAAAATCTATACTTGAAAATTTCTCATTCTCGTGATACCAGCGTTCAACATCATGCGCATCTCCCGTTATCCCAACAGAAGCCATATCCGAGCAAGCCAATTGTTTGTCGGACATTGCGTTTATACATGAGCTGTTGATGGATAAGTCTTCGTTGGGTCGAATGGTTCTAGTAGATTTTGCTTCGGTTTTGCTAGAGCTCTGGATGCATTCTGCCAATCCTTTGCTCTCAAGCATGTGTATTTCTTCGACCATCGGTTTCCAGATACGAACTCGTGCATTTATGAACCAGTTAGAAACCTGAGTTCAGAAATCAAATTGTTGACACCATGAAAACAAGTCAATCACACTTAACGGTGCTACATTCCAATTCAATCACACTATACTGTTAGACCAAATGCTTAACACAACAAACAGGAAGCAGTGAGCCCACCTGGTTTCGAGAAAGACCGGTTTGAGTGGCCAACATGTGCTTATCCGTGTCTGTGGGGTACCTATAAAAGAAAAAACAGATACAGAAATTCACACCAAATTACATAACTGAGAGGCCATACGAAAATGAAAAGGAAGAACAGTTGACTTACGGATGGAGAAAATGTTCAAACAGCCAAGCTCTAAGGATTGCCACCGCACATTCCGGTAGGCCTCTCTGGGGCCTCCAGCCTTGTTGTTGGGGTTCATGGAAGCCCAGGTTAACCCCACTAGATTTCTGAACCCCATACTTCAGCCTGGATAAATTTATATCACCTTTGCTAGTGCTAGCACCAGTAGTTGGGGACAATAAATCCTCCCCCGGGGCTCTAGATAAGTGCCTGAAACGGTCCGAGATAGTGTTCCCTAGGCACCAAAAGTTCCTTTCTACGGTCTTAAGAACCAAGGAAACATAGGGAGTGGCAGCACTAAGACCAGCTACGGATTCGAAAGAAGAAACCACCATTTGGATCTGCTGATAGTATAGCTTGTATCGTCTGCAAACCTTTCAATGGTGCAGCATAGAGAAGTTCTCATTAGAGTAAAACCTTTCGCTAGCATTACTTAAAAGTAAAATGTTAAAACGAAGAACGCAATCAACTATCTCGATGAATAATGATTCTCTACTTGGATTAGATCTAAAATAAATAATGGAAGAACAGGGATTTCACTGTATCATTAACTTTTTTTATCAAAGTTGGCCAAATTAGGAAAACCAATAGCAATGCAGATATGAAGGCAAGAGGACAACTTATTGGTGTTGAAACTTCAAATCGAAATGTCATTTTGATTTGATGGTATACAAAGACTAAAAGTGATTTGATGGTAGCAACAAATTCTTGTCTTATAATGACATAAATTTCATTGATAGTTGTGAGGTCGGATAAATTTCATTCATCGTCAACTCCTTGTTGTAAGAACTCAATTTCCTATCAATGTAAAAGGTCCAACAGCAAGAAATGAAACTAGCCCTTCATCCAAATTATGGTTACAACATTCCATTCATTGAAATTCTCTGGACTTAAGCCTAAACTATAATCCTTGTAATTTCAATCAGTAATCATCTAATATAAAAATTCCTTTTGCGTTAGTCATCTAAGGTGTTAAAGGACAATTGCTTTTTACTGTTGATTTACCTTGATGTGTCACCTTCCATTTCACAATTTTTGGATCTTTTCTTTAAATCCAAACACAGATAAATAGCACACAGGATGTAATTCCTCAGTTGCATATATACATGCATTACAATCAATACATAAATAAAATATGCAAGGCCTTAATTAATGTTAAATGGCTGCAAAATAAACATGTATGATGGTTTCCTCCATAAATGTTTCATTAATAAAGATGCCGATAATAACTGAATGAAAGATAACACATAAATGAGAAAAGAAAACTGATAACCAACCTCCTGCTGCAGATATAAAAGCTTTGCCTTCTTGTGTTGATAGTCAGGCCAACAAGAGCCGCTCCCAATGCCAACATCAGCATTACTAATTTCATTAGAGCTGCATAGACCGGAGATATTTTCCTTAATAGCTCCATCTTCCATATCAATTGCATTGGCAGCATAAGCCGAGGCTGAATCGCCTACGCCATCAGAGACACCCTCCGATGTCACACAAACTTTACCAAGCTTTGAATTGGTCATGTGGCAGTATTGATCTAACAGTTCTTGTGCCGGTTTAAGAAACCTTGAATTCTTAAGAATTGTTGCATATCCGGTGAATGGACCTAGGGGGTGAACATAAGTTGAAATTCCGCTACCTTTACTGATTGCAGACGGCTTCGGAAACGAATTTAAGGCACGAGAACCAGACTGATCCTCTGTGAATTGAGCCGAACCACAAATTTTTGATTCGGGGTTCGACGAAAGAGTTAGAGATAGCCCTTGGGTAGTATTAGTGGCATCACCCCACTGTGGGCAATGCTCTAAAAGGGACCTATTAGCCCAAGCACCAGCGTTATCAAAATGCAAAGCACTTGCTTGATGTCCTACAGAAGCCATTTCCGGTCCCTGAGTATCCACAGATGGTGTAGTAACGTCATAAAGTGAAGATGAAACAAACTGCAATTCCTCACAATGCCTTTTGCTATCATGGCTACAAAACTCAGTCCCGGGATACTGCATATTTGCACATATGTTGCTTTCCCTCGCACTATTTGACAACACTTCCCCAACAACCCTCGCACTATTTGACAACACTTCCCCAACAAACATAGGGTGATGATCGTTTTCTCTACCGGCTAATCCACTTGCATAACCCACCATCGGATCGCCACAACTTTGTAGGCCACCAGAGATTTTAGAACATGGATGAACATGGATGATACCTGAAGAAACAACAGTTGGTTCGTAAAGCAAATTAGCATTTCTATCGTTACGAACTTGAACAAGATTTGGGTTCAGCCCCGAATGGACCGAGGAACCTTGCTCCAAACTGTTGTGGAAATCCTCCAAATGGTGAACCCTCAACTTATCTCGTCGGCTTTGTTGTGCTATATGCAGTTCGGGTTTAAACTGGCTTGTGTCCATAACCAAACTCATGCAAAGCTAGCTTTAAAGAGGGAAGTGAAACAACAGTTCAACAATCAGAGGGTAAAAAACAAAACAAAAAAACAACGAATATAAAACAGAAGAAAAAAACAAACGAAACACAGAGATCAGACTGAAAGGAAAGAGAGAGAAAACACAGTGGAGAAATAAAGTTACCGTGTTTTCTATTTTCTAAAGAGAAATCATCTAACGCCTAGACTACTAAAAGTACAAGTAAATGGCAATAATAAGCTTCACGTCAACCTGTGGAATATAAACCCTAATTTTTCAAAGCCAACAAAGCCCAGGGTTCCTATCAGTTGCAAGCTCTACTGAAAAACACTCAACTTTTTAAGGCTTAGATCTAATAAAATAACATCAATACTGGAGAATCTTTTGCTTATATTTTCCAACGAACGACATATATGCATGTAGAAAATGTTTTAATAAGAAGCTATGAAATAAGAAGGCGACGACTAAACTGAACATCCACCAACCAAGAAAATGATCCAGCAGCTAGACTAACTTAATAGCAATTAATGGAGTAATAGTTATTTTTTAAATAAAGCAAAATAAGACATTTTTTCCATGAAAGGTTACCTTTTTCAATATACCTTTTGTGTTATTAAGCTGTTAGATCTCAAATATATGAACTTAAAAAAAATCTTGTCAAGGTGTGGAATTTTCCTGCAAGAAAAATATTGAATAGAAAAGGAAGAAGAAATAAGTTTGAGAGGAACAATAAATGTGGAAAAAGAAGGATAAATTTGTGTTTTGAATTGAAAGGTGGTGAATCTTCAAGAATTGAATTCTTATGTCCCCTGGTAGGGTCCCCTTTGAACCTAATTTTTCATGCTTAAAAGTTAAAGCTACACTACGTGGGGCGGGGTTTAGATGAACCAGCCTTAATTAGGTTAATTACCAAAAGTAATCATTCTTTTTAGAATAAGATTTTCTACCTTTAATCATCAACCTTGTAACAGCTCCTTTTTTATTTAATTTTCTTTTTTTGCAAAAAATAAAAACTTTTGTTTACTAACAGTAAATTCCATATAGGTATAACATTAAAATTATAAAGATAACCCTAAATTTAAAAAATTAATAAAAGAATAATAAAATTCCTACTTTATTAAAGGGAAAAGCATAAATTTGATATGCACGAATTTATTCATTTTATTTACTGAACAATTGTATATATAAATTATATCTGCATTTATCACCTAAAGTTATTTGATTATTTTTAAAAAAATATATTTAATATATTATTTTTATTAAAATAAAATAATATATAATTATTAGAGATAAAACAAAATTTTATGTTAATAGTAAACATTCAAATTTAAAAAAAACATATAACATTTTTAAAATAAAACATATTTCAAACAAAATTATAAAAATATATTTAAAAGCATTTAAAAAATGATAGATACTATCTGCTCCTCTCAGTCCATTTCTAATAATTATATATAATAATTTTAGTAAGCATCATGAACCATTTACTAAAATTAATCTTTAATAAATAAACAGAAATTAATACAAGTTGTAAGTAATTTTATATCATTTAAATATTTTTCATGTCTAAAAATTTATGTATCTAAAAATATTTTTCTTAAAAAACTCACTCACCAAAAAATTATCATTTTAAAGTATCATAATACTTTTTACTAAACCTAGATAATATTTTAATGTACAACTAAAATAATATGAATAAAATAATATTTTAAATTATATCAATTTAAAATATTCTAATTTTTATAATATTTTGATCATATTTACTTTTATTATTTTTTAATCTTAAATTATGAAGTTATAACTCTTTTAACTTATTTTGGGGAAAAAAAAGAATGAAGTGTGAGATGGAAGGAATTGATTTGATATGAATCCATAGAACAGAGTTCCGGAACTGTACGGTAACTGGAGATTATGAGGTCAGCAGTAACCGGTTTCTCCTAGGAACTACCGCCCGCATTCCAAGCCGACGCCACGCAATTCCTTGCTTTATTAAACTCTTCTCTTTTTTCCGATTTCCAATAAAATCTCAGTAATATTGAAGGAATAGATTTAAAATAAAAAGCCGGCAACGGCATCTCCTCCTAACATGTACGGCAAAGACAGCCTATCTTTCTCTCTCGCATGAATCTAATGAGGCTCATCTCTTCATGAAGAACCAAATATAATTTAAACAGAAAATAACTTCGGTGATTAAAAATGCCTTATAATATATGATTTTAACTAATTTTTTCCAGATTTACCAAAATGACCAACAAAATCGTAATGAGATCGCTAATTCGCAACGCGATCTCCATTATCGCAAATTCGCGTTGCGATAGTTGGAAATCGCGTTACGATGGTCTACAGTGTCGTTGCGATTTTCCCAATTCGCAATGCGAATAAGTAAATCGCAACGCGAATTGGAAAAATCGCAATGCGATACTGACTATCGCAATGCGATACTTACTATCGCAATACGATAATACAAAATCGCAACGAGATACTGACTTTCGCAACGCGATTCTGACTTTCACAACGCGATTTACATAGCGTCATTCGTATTAACGCGTATTTTTTTTTTCAAATTCCAAACATGAATTTTTTCTTAATAAATCGGAAACTGAACCGTCCACAGTAATCGCAACTCATAACCTCAAACCCAAAATCACAACACTCAGTCCCATCTCCATCTCTCACTCTCTACGGCGAAATCCGTCCCCATCTCCGAAGATTTTCGTCCCCATCGCCGGTGAAATCCCTCACAACCATTCACAGTCAAAAATCCCTCACAATCATTCAGAAATCGCTCACAATCATTCAGAAATCCCTCACAATCATTCAGAACCGTCCAGAGTAATCGCAACTCATAACCTCAAACCCAAAATCACAACACTCAGTCCCATCTCCATCTCTCACTCTCTACGGCGAAATCCGTCCCCATCTCCGAAGATTTCCGTCCCCATCGCCGGCGAAATCCCTCACAACCATTCACAGTCAAAAATCCCTCACAATCATTCAGAAATGGAAAATCAACCTCCGAGGGTTAGTTTTTTTATTTTTATTTTGAAATTTTTGCATTATTTTAGGTTTTTCATATTAAGATTGATGATAAGTTTACTGGTAATTTCAATAATAGATTAACCATTTCACTTAGATTTCTTATTAAATTCATTCGATTGCTGCCAATACTGCTAAACTGTTTAGCCTGTGAAGTTAGTATTTGTCTTTGTTTTGTCTTTTGGTTGAAGTAATGCAGAAGAAGAATAGTTTCGAGAATGAAAATCGCAACGCGGAAATAACTATCGCAATGAGAGAATCGCAACGCGAAATAAAAAACGCAACGCGAAACCAAAATCGCATTGCGATTTTCATTTCGCGTTGCGATAGTCATTTCGCGTTTCAATTCTAATTATCTCGTTGCGATTTTCATTTCAACCAAAAGACAAAACAGTGTTGCAAATTTTAGTTTCAAGAATAAACTACTATTTATGTTTATTGTTTTTTGTATATCTTGACAGTGTAGTTTTTGGTATATCTAACTTGGTATGTTTATTGTTTTTGTAGAAATTTTTTTCGGCTTCATTGACATTAAGGAATAAAGTTAGCCTAGCCACTACAATTGCTTCGAAGCTTTCACCTGCACAAAGAAAATTGTTTGAGGAAACCTGCTTCGGGCCATAGCTGAGAGTACAGCATCCGGGTGGAGATGCTAATTTGACCCATTTGTGGCTTTAGACCATGACTAGAGATCTACCCGACAGTATACAACGTGGTGAGAAAGAGATATGGTTTCATTTTCCACCGGCGTATACTTGTTTTGGGCGGAAGGAGATCTGCTTAATCACTGGTCTACGATTCGGACACGATGATGTAGGCCGGTACACTCGTCATATCACCCGCCCATCATGGTTATCCAGGGTTTTTCCTGATGAGTCAATAGAGAAGCCGAAGTTACACGTCGACGACATGAAGAAATTGTTTAATAAGAAAGATGGTTTTACTCGGATGAATGACGTCGATGTTGTCCGAGTATGCATTCTACTACTTTTGTATGCCGGCTTTTTAGGCAAAGAGGCCAGACAACCTATTCCTCAGGAGCTAATATTATTGGTAGAGGACCTAAATGCATGTAATCTGTTTCCGTGGGGTTCGTATATATGGAAAGCTACCTGGACTAAGTTGTCGTCTGCCTTTGATGACCGCAAAAGTTTGCGGGGCGATGGGTCGAAATACACTTTGTCAGGATTTGTTTGGGCCTTTAAGGTAAGAATTTCTATATAATGTTTTCAAAATTATAATTAATTATTTAACAATTACTAATGTTTGTTATTATATTGTTTGTAGATTTGGATATTCGAGGCCTTTCCCGCCATGAAGACATATGCAATAAAAACTTCAAATGATATTCCCAGGGCTATTTCCTGGAAGAGGAAACGTCTGTTGGATTGGGAAGACTTAATACCATATGCGACAATAAATAATGTAAGTTAACACAAATACTATCATATATAAACAAGTTATTAATAGTAGACGTTTAACTTTGTTTGAGTTTTTATATTTTTAGGAGGCCAACATTCCATTAATGAGACTGACACCCACGGAGGCTGAGCTTGCCACTGATTGGTGGCAAGCTAGTCAGCGTTTTCTTGATGGCACGAATGATGAGCAGCCTCCACTTCCTCCACTTCGAGAGCCATCACCTCACCCAGAGCCATCACCTGATCGACTTTGTCGTTGCGATTTTCATTTCGCGTTGCGATTTTGTCGTTGCGATTTCATTTCGCATTGCGATTTTGTCGTTGCGATTTTCATTTCGCATTGCGATAGCCATTTCCGCGTTGCGATAGTCATTTTCGTGTTGCGAAAGTAAACTATTCTTCTTATGCAAATTGAAACTTGAATGGATTGCATTACTTCAACCAAAAGACAAAAACAAAACCAAAAACAAATACTAACAAAAACAGTTTAGCAGTATTGGCAGCAACCGAATGAATTACGAGTATGAAAAATCTTAAACTTACCTCGTTGCGTAGAGTATGAACCTCATTCTGCAACGA